TTTAAATTATAGTTAAATATCTATACTGAGAATATTCTCCAATCAGGAAGGATTGTTGGGGTACATGTATTTTATGTAAAATTGCTTTTTCGAGGATCTTAAATTCTGGTACACATAATTCCCCCTGGTTCTATTTCCGGTGATATCTTCGGCGAAGTTTAGAATTTCATGCAGTCTTGGTTTGAAATCATTTATTATGTTTTTAATTAAATGTACTGTGTTTAAAATTTTTTCTGTAAATTTTTCTATTGAACATGTATTTGGAGTATGTATGTGTTTTCCAATGTAAGATGGTTCCGAAGCCATGTCTGGGATTTTTGCAATCTGTGTTGTCTAAATAAACTCGGAGGTGAAAAGAAATGGATGGATACATGTGCATTTTTGTTAGAAGCAGAAAGTTGAAGATGGGGGTCCTTAGTCGAGAGGTGAGACTGGGCGATGCATTGCCATAAAAAAGCAGGTGGGTAGATTATTATTGGGCCAAACACGAGTGATGGATGAGTTTTCCATGTTTGAGATGTGGATGCTAATGTGATACACGTGTCTTGATTTTCAGGATATGGGACAGTTGCAGGTTGACGTGAAGATCGCATTGATTATTGTGTTGATGGGACCAAGGTTAGCTTGGATGATATATTTTGAACAAACACTTGAAAAGACAAACGATAGATGGACAGATCAATTGAATGGCAAATTCAGATGCGTCTGCCTTTTACGAGCTGAGTACACAACTTGTAATTTTATTTTACCATATTTTGCTTTGTGGGGGGTCCGAACCAAGTTAATGGGTGTCGATTTCAAACTTCAAAATCTCATAATGCGACTTTTCTTACCCTGTTCACAGGAACAGAGTAAAACGCAGGACCGTGTACTGTAAATCGGTGATTTTCTCTGGCTGAGGATCAGGAGTACATGGGAAGTGGACCCACCCACATTAGGTATTGGGGTAAGCTGTTGCAGCATGTGCATTATGCATTTTTAATGTTGGTAGAGCCTGCTTTCTTTCAATTTTATATAGGTTTAATAGCCAATTTAGTCCCCACTTTGGTTGAAAAATCTCAATTTAGTTCCTCGTTATAAAAGTGTTTTACATTAGTCCTAACTTTTAAAATAGTGGGTCAGATTGGTCCCTTTCGTTAAATATAAGTTAACGAAATTAATGGATGATGATGTGACACAGCTTAAAGCTGATGTGTTAGATTGGTCCCTCGTTAGCTTTAAGTTGTGTCACATCATCATCCATTAATTTTGTTAACTTATATTTAACAGAAAGGACCAACCTGACCCACTATTTTAAAAGTTAGGACTAATTCAAAACACTTTTATAACGAGGGACTAAATTGAGATTTTTCAACCAAAGTGAGGACTAAATTGGCTATTAAACCTTTTATATAATCTGTTTGAAATCACATGCTTCTGCGGACCCATAAAAGTAATGAAACTCCAAAACTCCATAAAACTACATAACCATAAAAGTTTCACAAATGGGATTAATCTAACTTATGGTGCTCACTCTTCTTTTTTCAAATGCTGCACATGACAAAACTGTCACTTAGCTTCGAAGAAATTGAGCAAAACTATCACGCACTGAAGTTTTCTGCTTTATTGGTTGTGGAATAGATATTCTGATACTCCTTAGGTAGCAGGTTGGTAGGGTTGGGTTAGGCACATTAATTCATTTAATTTTTGTTCAAAAGCTCAATGTTGTGGGTAAGGCATGGTGGAGACATTAATTCCCATAATTCACACCAGACTGTAGGGTTGAACAACAAAAAGGTTAAAGACAGCCATGGATTTAGGTAATGGAGCTTAAGGTCATCATGCTTGAGAAATCATTTACTAATGATTTCAAATATTGTATGTAATTTCTCAAACAAATATAGTTTTTTCACATTCCTTTTGGTTTGTGTACATGGTAAAATGAAAAAGAAATGAAAAAATAGCAAGGTAAATATGGAAATTAGAGTGAAAATAAAGAGTATAATCCGTTTCCAATATCACTTTACAGGCCATAACCCACTGAAAAAAATGTTTATGTCAAGTCTGACAAAGATCTGTGGTAAAAAAAGCTTCCCCACCAAATCATAACAATCATTTGGGAACTCTACAAAGCAAAGCATTAGTGGGGAGTGAAAATGACCCACTCCACATTCTTTTAACACGTTTTATGACTTATTTTTAATATATTTTTCATTAACTAAAATTTATTATTTTTGATATTTCATTTTCGTTTAATGAGTTTCACTCATAATTTTATAGAGTTTTTAATAGTTATAACCCCTCCATGAAGTTAAAGCCAACTTGGATAAAGGAACTGCACGATTCATGTAGTTTAGAAGAGTTAAACAAACATTAGAGACTAAACATTGTTGTTTAAAATTTTTAAAACTAAAGAAAATATTTTACAAAGATTAAAACCAAAACTTTATAATTTTTCCAAAATTCGAAACATATTTTAACTATTTTGAAATATAAATCGGAATACAAAAGTTATGCCATATCAATTTAGAGTATCTTTCTGACAATTATGGGTTTCGAAATATATCTAGAGTACATTTAATTTGAAATAGTTGTTTTGAAACATGTTGCATGAAGCGTTAAATAAGTTGTTAATATTTTAAAAGTTATTTTGTGTTAAAATTTACATTTCTAATTTCTTTTTAATATTTTTATATTGGCTATAATATATTAATTTGAAGTCTTCATCCTTTATAAAATTTATTAAAAAATGGGAATACACTTGTTTATTTCATGTATTTTTTGAAAGTTTAATTGTTAAGTTTTTGTCACACATTACATTTGGTTTATCAAACTAAAATCATGTGCATCCTTAAATTTCTACTGAAACGTAATGCAAAACTATATTAATAAGTTGATTGATTTTAATAGTGGATGTTCAATTCAATCTCGTGCAAAGAATGACGTGAATATTTATTTTGATGGGTCCATTTCCATTTTCTTGTAACATAAATTAAATAAAATTGAAAAACAAAAAGAAAGAAGAAGAAAAAAACTAAAGAGAAAAAAACAAAAGCAAAATCTTTCAAATGGACAAAAAATACACTATGCTAGATTTCACTTTCAATAGAGGTTCTAAACGAAAAACAAAAACACCACTTTTTCTGGCGTTACTGAGAGAGCAAAGATCGAAGATAACAAATTATTAAAGTAAATTATACACGCATCTCTATATTTTCCTAAATTATACTGAAACCTTAATTTTTAAAATTTTACGCTAATTTTTCTTTTACTTTGAAAGCATTATTTTAATCTTTTCAGGTTTTAAAAATATTGTACTTACATGAGAAATCATTGTAATGCTTGAAAAATCACGTAGTATAAGTTTAATTTGATAATGTTTTAGGAATATCTTTTAATTTATTTAATTATTTAAACAATCGTTATACACTTACTTTAAGAAAAATAGTTTAAAGTAGTTACTTATTTAAATGATATTGGATTCGATTTTTGTAGGTAAAGTTTCGTATTATCGAGTTTTGTGGATGAAAAGAGCATATTTGAAAGAAGAGGTTATACTAAATTGGATGACAAACGGAGAATAATTATCAACCAAGCTGATAAACATTATATACCATTAATATGGTTAAAAAAAGTTGGTCGCACAAATTAGCCATTATATAAAATAACTATAATCTCGTAGCTATTCTATTTTTTTAATGTTGTATGGCATTATTAATAGAAAAATGTATATTCTTTGTTCCATTTATATAGAATATTCTTTTGACTAGTATGTATTAAGGAACTGTGGTTTGTAATAGAATTTTGTTATTAGTTTCACGTGGACGCTAAATAATCTTATGATCTTGAATGTGGGTTTTCATATTGAGATGAATTTTCTTATTATTTAAAAGAGGTAGATTCATTTGTAAAAAACTCTTCAAATCTCAAGTTACTAAGAGTTTATGATTTATAAGTATGAGATATTGAGTAAATATTTCTTAAAAAAATATTAATTGTATTGTATTTATAGAACTCATACAAGGATTTTGACATATTATTTAAATTAAAGATCACTTAACCTTGAGTAATTATTTGACTTTTGATTTTTTATGATTAATTTTTGAATGTATAATTTGGAAGCCAAAACTATTGTGTTTTTAGGTTACATAATACGAAACATTTTTTTTTGAAATTAATTTTGACTTTTAGATTCTAATATTTACTTCTGGAATGTATAATCGAGAAGGCAGAATTTTACATGTTTCAAAAGTCAAAATTTGGTTTTAAAAAAAAAAAGCGTTTTGAATTGTGCAAACTGAAATACAATTTCTGAAATTACGTGCAACCTGAAGTAGACTTATAATTTATAAAAACTTTTATAGATAGTACAATTCGGAATTCAAACTAATTAGAAAGTCATTCCCCCATTACACAATCTAATAAATTTCTGAAAAACAAAAATTCATAGTGTTGCACAATCCATAATAACAAAGCGTCAGTGTGAGAAGAAAAGGAAAAACAATCACCTTATAGGGTGCAAATAGAAGTTATGCGGTGTAGAAAGAAAAACCCGTAATAAGTATCCGTTTAATGAAGTGGGGGCCATTTCTTACTGCACCATGTTTTTTTCTTACTGCACCCTCATAAAATTCATGAATCCAAGGACTCTGCACCTTTTTTTTCCCTATTATTTGTCAAAATTAGTATTTCCATAGATTTTATCATTATAATTTGATTTTGATTCTGTCATTATTACTGATTTATATTCTTGAAACATTAAGATTACTGAATTTATCTTCATTCCTGCAACTGCCTATCACATAATTACAAAGTTGGATTATATAATATGTGTGTCAGCCTTCTATTTTATAAATAATAATGACACTAAAACACACAAAAGTAGAAAAGGTTTACATGATAGATATAGGGATGAAACATGAAAGTGAGAATCTCCTTGAAACTATGAATAAGAGAAAAGTAATTTATTTGTCTCAAATATGTATAGATGCACTCAGTTTACATAGTAAAATTAGGAAGAATACAAAATATAACAATGAGTGGCAGAGAATACATTAAACAGAGACTTACACTTGTAAATGGCCTATTAAATATAGAATATTAATAAGACTATAACCATAGTAGATAACATAAATTATGTCTTGAAAAAAACTGATCCTAAACAACATCATTTTCTTCCCAATTTCTTTTGTTAGATTGCATCATCAACACATCATTCAACGTCGTCCTCTCAGAAAACGCCATGGTCCTGTTCCTGTTCCCATCCTGCATGTGTATAATTAACCATAACTCATTAACATCTTAATTATTATTCTCTTTCTTCTAATTATTTTCCTATTTTACAATTTAGCTGTACTTTTTCTTTTCATGTTATTCTTCAATTATATACAGAATAACTCTAAAACAATTATTTAATTAATTGTTTTCTAGTTTTTTCATTATATTATCACCTTAATTTTGATATTGTTTTCATAGAAAAAAAATTACTTTATTAACATGTGAATAACTTAGATGTAATTTAAAAGTAATTGTTTTAACTTTCAATATCTAGCCATGATACATGGTGATTGTGTAAAAAGATATTACATTGAGAAAACATTATAAGTAGATTATTGTGGTAGATACCAGACTTGTTTGGAGAAAATTTCTTTCTAAACAATATTGAGAGAAAAAAACAAAGAAATTAATAACTTCTTATAAGTTGAAATTACCAATTTATTCAAAAGTTAAAAAACAACGAAAAAAAAGACAAAAATTAACTCTATATAAATAATTTAAAGTGGTTATGGAAAAATTTCTTCCCACCTCCTCATTATAAAACTTTTATAATATGTAGTATTTTTTATATTATGTTGAAGGTATGTTGGGATCAATTTTTTCTCAAGCACTCTTGAAATAAAATAAAAAAATCAGCTGTTTTATAAGTTAAATTAACTTATTGACAATATTAAAAATAAAAATTTAACAATATAAATGACATGCATAAAGTAATTTTGATTGATAAAAAAGAATTTTTGTAGAAGGTGGTAAAAGCATGGTCTAAAAGAAGGAATAATGTTTACCTCCATACACCGGCAAACATGCGAAGACTCATATATATGGTTAGTGCAATCCATAGTCCAACAAAACCTTTGCTCTTAGAGAGAAGGAACAGTGAAGCAACACTTGCTAATGACACAGTAACCAAGGAGTATGCAGAATATGCAAAATCAGAAGCTCCATAGTTCACACCATCAAACACAAAGGCTAATGAGTTGATTGGTTGTGTTGCAGCAACAAACTGCTCAATGAAATTAAATCCATCAGATCAAAATCACACACAAAACACTTCTCAAATTCTTTCTTTTTTCTGCTTACTTCTTCTGTGTGATGTAAACTTCCATTCTTACTTATCAGAATAATTCTGTGTAGTGAAAAGGATGCAGAAATATACCGGGAGTCCTATTCTGATTAAGTGCACAACAAGAACACTTTTGGAGAAGATTCCAGCTCCAAAGTATAAACCAACTCCAACTGCAAGAGAGAGTCCAACTCCTAAAACAAAACTCATCTGAAGCGTTCTTGTTGCAGCAGCAATCACCTTTTCATAATCTTTCTCAGCAAAGGAACAAGCCAGAATTGCCTGAGATATAGTGAAAGTGATTACTGATACTCATTTGATCAACAAGTTATACAAAGACTTTCTCTTTTTGCTGTATGTATAATAATGTGAATAGTAGGATTTAAGCTCATGAACTTTGTAACATGATCACATTTTATACAACTAATATATATTCATGTACCTGTACAGCAACAGCTAAGCCATCGGCAAGAAGGGAAGATGTCAGCCACACCTGCAAGCAGGTTTGGAAAGCAGCCATAGGGATTGGGCCAAATCTTGCTGCCAATGAGGCTGCCAGGGTTTGGCAGAATGTCACAGCCACAACTCTTGCCAACAGAAGACCTCCTATTGAAATTGAAGATGAACTTTAGCATGAGTTTGGTCACTAATTAAACTAGAATTATATGTTTTTTATTCTTGTTTCTAACAGAGGAGAGTGAGATTTCAGTTATAGTACACTTACCATTTTTAAGAAACCTGAAAATCTGCAAGTCCTTGATGCTTGGAGGTACAAGATCCACTTTTCTAATTAATATCAACAAGAGGGCGAATGCCATCACATACCTAATCAGAAAGGGTCGACATTTTGTAAGTTCATGTTTGTTTTGCTAAACGAATTGCTTGAACACTACAAGGATGAAAACCAAGTAAGACTTACTGAGAGAGCACATGTGAAATGGCTGCACCTTTGATGCCCATTTTGCAGTAGAAGATAAGAACTGGATCCAAAGCCACATTCAATGCATACCCCGAGACTAAAACCACACACAGACGAATCTCGTCAAGGAAAATTTTGACTAATATGCATTTTGAACTTTTGATGCTTTTACTTTGTCTCTACTAATACTATACTGAATCATTTGAACCTACCAATAACATATAAAGGAGTTGTAGTGTCCTTGAATCCTCGAAAGATTCCTTGCATGGCCAAGGAGAGAAGAACTGCAGGAGCACCTAAAGCTCTCAGTCTCAAGTATTTAACAGCTGGATTTAGCATAGGAGAATCCTACACAAAGAGAATTAGCTTCACTTCAGTAAAAGATTAGAAAAATGCCTTAGAAAATCAAGATTTCTTAGATATAACTCATATATACATACAGGTTTCAGACCCATTGCAGCTAATAGAGGTTTGGCTGCAAATATAAGGGTTGCAGCTTGAAGAAGACCAAGGATGGTGCCAAAAAGTAGCGCTGTTGATGCAGAAGCAACGTGTCGCTTCTTCCTTCCAGGTTTTGACACACTCTTGTTACTACTACTGCTGCCAGCAGAGGTAGATTTGCTTACACTAGTATTGCAATCTGATAGGAAATTGGTTATTGTTAAACTAAAATGGGAGAACGCAAACTTTCATATTCATATACATAATCTTTATATACCATAATGAATTTCCTATTCGAAGCTATAAAATGTGTGATGTGTATTAGTGTATACACAAAAATAGAAAGGCAAAACCAGAAAGGGACAGAAAGTACCATCCATTTCCACATTCTCACTCGTTGAAGATGAAGATTCTGTTGGAGTCTCATTGTGTTCCTTGGATGCTCCTTTCTCTATATCTTGAATCAACTGATCCTCGGGCCTTACCTCCTTGGACTTGGCCTTAATGTTTTCAGTCAAATTCTTTTCTTTGTTCATTTTTTCGATGGTATTTTCCTCAGCCACAAAGGAAGTTGTGATGCTAACCAAAGGGAAGATGGTAATTCTTGAAGCTTGGTTGAACAAAGCGATGGACACTCCTGCTGCAGCAAGCTCCACGGGCCCTAAACACATGAACAATGAAAAGTCAGTGTAAAAGTTGTATCTATGTAGGGACCAAATGATATATAAAACCTTCCAATTATGGCTACACTACAACTCTTGCAACTGCTATTAGTGTGTGGGAAAAAGTTGCCAAGCCAAAGCACAAAACCTGATTAGTGCGATTTACATGTGTGTGTGTCTGTCTTTTTTTGCAAACATCACATAATGAGAAGGAAATTGATGTACCCAAGTGGCCAATGAATGCTGTGTCTATGAGAGAAGCAATAGGATCAGCAGCAACAGCCAGTGCAGATGGGAATGCAATCCCAAGTATCTCCTTAGCAATGGAGTCCATCTTGAAAACATGTCTGCATATGTTGTTGAACCAAGTATTAGTATTTTGCAGTAACATATTTTGTTTCTTGAATGATGTTTGTCCTCCAAGGAACAAGGGTGATTGATGAGCTGATAAAATATAAGGGTACCTTGCATCTTTGAAGAAAACTGAGACAGGCAGGTTTCTGTTGTTGTTCTTGGGTTCATTACTTGAGCTACCATTCTCGTCCATGGTTATGTTTCCCTTAAATCTCAACAATCTGTAGAGTTTTGAGTTTGAGGTCGTTCAGTGTTTTGAATCATCAAAAAAGAAAGAAAAAAACGTTTGATATAGATCTCCATGCTGGAAACTCAAGCTTGTTTTTCTGACAGCAGAAATAAACTATGTATTGTGCGCCTTTGTCAAAGATCACAAAGGAAAAGTGACCTATTTATGGTAATATTGCTGATACGCAAAAAACCACATAAATTAATGTCGATTTAAGTGTTGCAGAAATCAAGGAGTGCTGAAAAAAAAGTTGCTGACAAAAAGTATCATAACTATTGCAGTTTCAACCTTCCTCAGATGTGTTTTAATAATGTTTCTAGAAATGTTGGTAAGGAGGTTCATCAAGAATATACAAACACAATATACATGAACTCAATCATACAAGAGATTCATACAGCTCTCTATTCAAAATCTTAAAACAATTTATTTTTATAATGTTTTACTTTCTTCTATAGAATGTGAAACTTAAAAGTTACTATTTCCATCAACTCTTTCTAATTTGAATTAAATGACATATTCGGATGCAACAATAAAGGTATATATTTTTTATTTAATTACTTTACTTGTTTAGTTGTACATTATATATGAAATTTACCTTTTAATCTCTTGTAATATCTACGTACATGAAGAATGTATAATACATTAATGTAAACAAAATGCTTAACAAATTGCAGCATTTACAAGGCAGAACATGTCAGTTTCTTTCTTTAATATAAGATAAAAGCTAAAGCACTTATGAATAAGACACAAGTGTTGGAATCTTACACCCTAATGCATATACTTTTTTGACATTCGTTATAGATCCTAAAACTGAACTTTAGAGTCTTATAACATGATATTACCTACCATCTTTCATTTATAAAAGTATAACACAAAATTAATCAACTGTTAAATTTTATTATTTTTTAATATTTACCAAAAAAATATCATTTTTAAACAAAAAAATATAGGCAATGGGGTTATACATTTATTAAAATTATGGTTTTTTTAATAAAAATTAATATTAAATGAAGTAAAATAATTAAAATTTTGCTTATATTTAAAAGAAAGTGCTTTTGTTTATACATGAGAATATACGGATGGGAGAACCCATTCACAAGAAAAAAAAATCCACACATATTAAGGAGTTGAAATAACTTCTTTGCTAAAATACCCTTGTTATTAATTTCAGAATAAAAAAAATACATATTATAACAAAATACCAGAAATTAACTAAAGTTAGAGTATTTTAAGAAAAAAATAAACATAAAAACTTATATTCGAGAAAAAACATACTTTTATGAATAAAAAGATAAGAGTTTTACCATAAAAAAATTATATTTTCTTGGTGAACCAAACTTACTCTTTACTTTTAAAATATTACTTCATATAATAAATAAAACAAGTTTTTACGATAAATAATAAATTTTACGATTAATTTCTTACAAAATAATAAAATTGCTTAATCTCGAACTCAATTTTATTTAAAACTATTTTTTCTAAAATTAAATTTGAAAAATCAACCAAATACAAGTTACTTAAATAAGATGTGAATAAATCATGAAAGTCAATTTTCTACCAGTAAGAGTCCATATTCGTAAAAAAAATCAGTAATCGTTTAAAAGCTTCACATCCCACAGATATGGACTGATTAAGCAACGAATCTAAATCCATTTTAATGCATATTTTATAGTAAACAAAAAAGCTTACGCACTTTAGTGATTTGAATTTGTGCTGAATTAGAATTAAATTAATAATAATAATAATAATAATAATAATAATAATAATAATAATAAATGAAATATATGCATCAATTAAAAAGGAAAAAGAAAACGCAATGGCGTCACATCCTCAAGAAAATGACAGATAAAAGTTTAAATTGTAATCCGTTGAGTAAAAAAGTATGATGTTTTCAAGATGACAATTATCTCTATCTATATACTTGAACAAGTTTAAAGAATACTTCTTTTAACAATTTAAAATTTAATAAAGAAAATTGTGTAATGTTGGCATAATCAGTTGTTTTTTATTTTATATTTTTTCTTCTAAATCAATAAGAAATAAGATTAAATTGAGGTTTAAATATATATATTTTTAAAATTATTTTAGAAAATTGTGTTTTATTTTTAAACTAAATTATATACTTATTTGATTTGTATATTTATGAAAATCATATAAAATATTATTTTCAACAAAGAGTAAGTAGATGTTATATCTTAGTCTATTATGTTTGTCACATAAAAAACATGTTACTTAGAAAAATGTTTTATGTTTATAAAGACAAAATAACCAGACAATTTAATTTAGAAATAAAACGTAGTTTTAAAAAATTAAAAAAATACTTAATCTTAAATTAATTACTAGCTAAGATAATGATCTTATATAAGTAATTACCCTTGTGTGTACGCACCAAAATATGACACGCATGACATACTAAAGCATTATACTAATCCTTACCTTGTTGGCCACTATTTCTCCACTATGTTCAATTAAAATAAGTTCTTTATATACGCCAAAACTCTAAGTAGTTAAACACACAAAAAAAAAAAACAGGAACAAGATTCTGAATTTTTAACCAAGTTTATGTGTTTCCATGGATAGTTTTGCCATACTTTTCAAATCAAACATTAGAAATTGTTGAATCATACGTTTTTTTTGTATGGTGTATATATTTTGAAGTGTGATAAAACTTTCTAAAAGAAAATAATATTTTATAAAGAAATTAAAATGGATCATGAACAATAAACACTATATTTTAAAGCATTTTTTAAATAATAGAAAGACGAAGTATATATAGTAGAAGAGAGATTAAAACCGTACATGGATCCTAAGAAAATGGAACAAGGTTTAACATTGTCATTTACATATTGGTGGGTCCCCCAACCTAATCCGTACACCACCAATGACTTTCCACACACAAATTTTCCACTTATATAACACATCATTTCATAAATTACACTAAATATGCATGTACTTATTCCTTTTTCTTATAAATTCCTTATATATGTCACTTAAAAAAATAAGCTCAGATATTTTGTTATTGTTGTGTTGAATTGTTAGGTGTAAAAATGTCTACTTTTTTCACCATCCCTTTTAGAATCTTAAACAATTACTAACAAAAAAACACAAGAAAAAAAAGTGTATTTATACCAATTAGATAGCATGGAAGCTAGGTAGCATGCAAGTGGAATGAAGTTGATAAACTTTATATTAGAGGAGTGACTAATTTAGCCATTTGGTGTATGGTGATGTTGAATTCACAAAAGTTATCACAATAATGTTAAGCTTTAGTAAGCAACTAAACCAAACAAATCATGGTAGGTTTTTTAATTAATACACATTTTTTTCCCTAGTGGCATGGTTTGATAAAGAGCTTCCCCATTTTAAAACAAGGATTTGTAATTCAATAATGTGTGAAAAGCAAAAGCATGCATCTTTATCCATGGAGTATGCTTTACCCTCTTCACCATTTCCAATAACAAGAAGAAGAATGAAGAACTTAGCAAAGAAATGTGAGGGTAAGAGTTAAATCTAATGATATATGTACATATATGGAAGCATAGTACCATAAGAAAAATTTGACATATTGAAGAAAAGTGAGAAAATGAAATGAATTGCATTTAGATTTGATTCAATATAACATACCTTATATTCTCCTAAAGGAGGTTTGTTCTTGAAGCTTGAACTCTCTCTCTCTCTCTCAATGCTTCTTCACTCAAACACTAAGATGACAATAAGTTCTTACATGACAAACCCAACCTACACCACTCCCCTTTTTATAAGTAACCTTAACCCACTGTTTTCCTAGGTATTCAAACACATTTTCACACATGATAAACTATTGTTTTTTGTCAACTTGTTAATTTTTAAAAATGGTTTTGTATGTATATTTAAAATGGTAGAAAAAAGAGGAAAATTAGTGATTAAAAGTGACACGTTTCTGGATGCCAACAACAATTTACAGGTGTTGGATTTGGTGATTAAGAAATTGTGGTGTGAGTGTAGCAAAGAGAATGAGAAGAGAAAATGTTTGATAAATGTCCACTATGATGATAGATTGATAAGCAAGGTGTAAGATGAAGTATAAAATATTGTTCTACTTTATGCTACAAATTATGGTGCTTTTCATTCGTTGTTCTTTGGGAATGAAATAGAGTAGCATTGTGGGCTACGTGGGAATCCCATTAAGCTCCAATATCCCAATCTTGGAAATTAAAATGTACTACCACAATCTGACCTAATTTTTTCTGGTTTCTCAACATGCATATATACCATCATTTTCATTTTTCATCTACGTGGGGGAATGTTTGTTTTTTCTTATTAAAATAAATAAATTTATATAGGCCAGTTCTACAAGTTATTTTATATATATAAACTTTACTTTATAAAATAATTAACATTTAAGAAAAATGTATTTGAGATTCTATATCAATTAGCACAAGATAAATTTATAATATATAGGTGGATATAATTTTTATCTTAGAAATTTAGTACAATTAGATTATACTTAAAGTTTATCTCTTAAGAATAATTTTTTTACTAGAAGTTTTTAAAGACTATAACTTCCTATATGAATTTTTGATAATGATGAAACAATGTAAGGTGTTTTATATCTTTTGTTTGATACTAACGTAGATGTTTCCTCCTTTGCTTAATCCAGTTTATCTTTAGATGTTTCCTCCTTTGCTTAATCCACTTTATCTTTAGTTAACTTGTAATTTCTAACTCAAATTTTTTTATGTTGAGACTCATATATTTTGTATAATGAGATTATACATTAGTGAATAATCTAATAAAGTTTTACAAAATTAACTTGTTAGGTGATGATTGTATTAATTCATATACTATATATAAATAATTTGACTTTATTTCTAATTAAGGTAAGACTTCCAAATATAAATGAAATCAAATATTTGTACGTAGTTTAAAAATGATCTGATAGTAAGTAACATGATATAATCTCGTTAAAATAAATTTTCATTTCATATTAGGAAGTAAACATAATCATAATTCATCATCACAACAACATTGATTTACAAAATACATATCATTCTCACTTATATATTATAAAATAACCTTATTTCTAATTAAAATAAGATCTCCAACCATTCATAATATTTTTCACTAATAATCTCACATTCTTTGAGTCAAATAAAAAACAATTTAAATATATTTTTTCTTCTTTGAAATGCCTTAATCATTTCAAATTCTGAAGTTTTCAATATCTTAAATTTCGTGATTGATTTTATCAATGTTACTCAATGAAATTTATATGAATAACATTTTATTTTTTAAATGTAAAAACTAGTTTCATATTCTTACAAAAGCATATCTTTTTATTTACATAGAAAAGTTATTGAATAAAAAAGGTTAACATTAAAGCTTATGCTCATGTCACTTTATATCACTTTGGTCCTAATGATATCATAATCATAATAAAAAGTAATCACACAATAATATCTAAGTTGGCATTTCCACTTTTTCGCGTGGAAGCCGCGTGCCCTAGATTATTAAATTTAATCTTCAATTAACTTTCGTGTGGAAGGCACACGATTCTACCCATTACTTCATTAAATTATTACATGCAATGCCGTAGTACTAATCAAGTTTATCAACACTAAAATAACTTTCATCATATTCAAATTCAAAGAGAATATTCTTTTTATGTTATTTATAAACCATATTCAACAAATGCAACACGTTAAAATATTACAATATCAACCAAAAGTATAAAATGTATGCTTATGCTTCTTTGTAAATATTTCAAAAAAACAATTTTATTATTCATAATAAAAAATTTATTAATTTGTCTATAGTTATTAGCTTTAATTTATGAAATATTTATTTTATTTTTTTTTGTTCTTTTTTTTTAAAATTTTGTAGGAAATTTCTTCCAATCCCATCAAACACGTACATTGATTAAGATTGTAAGTGTATTTATACTTTATAGAAGAACTGATTTGGTTTTTCCACTTACTTTAAACCTGGGAACCACGCACTCTCGTGCTATATATAAAAATAAAAACAAACACTTTTTTTGTTGTTGTGGGGAACAGTCGAAGATTAAAATAACTGGTTGATGAAAAATTAGTGAACCAATTAGTTCACAATTGAAAATATCAGTGGAACAAACAATTGATAAAGAAGCCATTGAAAATCAGTGACAGCTGCAAAACAATTTGAATAGTTTTTTTCTTTTAGTTCATTCAAAACTACTTTTTGACATGAATAAAGTTAAAGTGTAAAATCTACACTTAGATTATTATGGATTAGTTTTTAACTCAAGAGTGCATACTTTTTGTTTTCTAATTTTAAAATAAATTAACTTGATTTTAATATATGTTATAAATTGTTTAATTTTCGTTATTTAGGTTGATTTTTGTTCACATTATTATTGATTATTGTTGCGTCTATCGAGAAGGTTTTACATGAGAGATTCAAACATCAATGAGATATGAGCACAACTATATAAGAGATTGACATAATTCTTTATCCAAAACTTTAAGACGATGGGTCTTCCACCTTTATATACTACTCTACTTTCTTATTTCTATCCAAGGTAAAACTTAGACTCACACTTAGATTCTCAACTATGACATCACTTTTAAATAGTTATAACATACACTAAAGTTATTATAAAAATATCATATTTTCTTTTATCAGTAAAGAATACCTAATTTTACATATAGGTATTTTAACTAATTTACCCAATATTTAAATAAAATAATTTCAAAAACTTTAATTTCAGAAAATTGTAATATAAAGATCGTTAACTACCGTACCAAAATAATATACCCTTTCAAAAAATTTGTAACATTATGTTAGATAAAAACATCGTAAAACAATTAAGTCAAGAAGAAAAAAAATCTACAATTATATGATATATAGTAAACAACTTTACATGTTCATTCTCTTAAAAAAAAAACTTTAATTTGTAATTATGAAATTTTCAATTGCTACCCAATAATATGATTAATTCATTTTTTCAGTAATTAATTTGATTTAGTACTTAACATTGTCTTCACTAAATTATTCCATTTGCAAAAGGAAAATGTGGGTGTATACATCCTTCATAGTACATTTTCATCTCAAGAATAATTAATTATATTTTTATTACAGATTTTAAATCTAATTAAGTGTTATGTCTCTGGTATTAAATTTCTATTAAATCATTTTGATCTATATTCAAAAAATTTATGTTTTCCAATAGAATTCTTGTAATTTAATATTTTTTTTTATAACTAAGTGACCTAAATGTTATCTTGTCTAATAGTAAATTATAGGAATTTAATTGAAAAGTATAAAAAATCATAAATACTCAATAGACAAAAATAATTTAATAAAAATTCAATTAATAAGACTTAAACTTATGAAAAACTTAAAACTTGATTAAACTTAATTAAACTGAAATTTTGTATTAAATTAAAGTTGAACTATAGAATGCATGTGAACCTAACATATGTCGACATAATGACACAATGATCTAGATGACATAAATTAAAATTAGTTCAATAGAAGCAAATCATACACAATTTTATGAAACTTGAATGCATTTATGAAATATCATGTTTTGAGTGCAACTTCCAACATTGAAGTTTTTCATGTGAGAGAAAAGTTATGCATTCGTATTTAATTGATGTATGTGTTGGAGTCTCTTGTTTCTCACTTATATTTAATTGATCTATACAAAGTGAAGCGTGCTTTGCAAAAATAGAAAAAGTCAAAGACATGAAGGATACAAATGGTGCAATTCATTGAACTTAATCATTGCGTTCTCCACAAAATCTGTGGGCTATGAATGTTTACTTAGTTATTTAATCATGATTGTTCCACTTAATTAATTTATTTCAGAACATCGTTTGGAACCTTAATTAATTGATTTAGTTGATTGTAGTTTGTGTTATAAAGTTGTTTACTCCAAATGCTTTGAAATCTTAGTGACTCCTACAGTAAAAAATTTAACAATGTGGTGAGAGAAACAATTGGCTTATTACTAACCAAAAGTGTACGTAAAACAAGGTTCAACCAAGATCAAAGTTGAAAATTGAAAAGATACAAAACTTGGCTACAATCTTCATCATCACCATTATAGGTAAAAGAAAAAAAACTAATAATCATGCATTATTTGATATAGTAAAAGGATACATCATGAACAATTCTTACTAGAAACATTCTGCTTCTGATTGGAGAATACATTAACTACTAATTGTTTTGTTATTGTGAAATGTTTTTTTAAGGCTGGAACCAAAGTGCATTTAGTACTTTCTTTTGAGCTATTTATGAGACTCTAACTAGAAGTGTAGTTGAATCCTTTTAATAAAAATTAATCTATAAGGTTAAACACAATTGACTATTGTTTTTCACACATTGAATTATTTTTTAGTTCAATATATAGTAAATAAATTAATTAATTTATATTAAGGTTTCATGTAATCATATAATATTATTTTTAAAAAATTATATTAAATATCATCATAACACTAGTATATAGAAAAGCTTCTAACGTGTCTATTACACTTCAACTTTTACGAAATCGAAATATAAAAGGTGTGATGACATTTTTACAATTTTTACGAACATATATAGGTCTCAGTTCATAAAAAACTGAAGTTATATATACTTTTAGCCTCCATTAAAAGACAAATGAAGTCTCAATTAAAAATTCTTGACGTCTTTACCTTGAGTTGAGTAGAGCATTCATTTCTGGTATAGGAGAGTGATTAAAGTTTAGGGGAGTTATAAGGGAGCATTG